CCCCAAAACCCCAAAACCCCAAAACCCCAAAACCCCAAAACCCCAAAACCCCGTAGCCCAACCTTTATATTGAAATAGATTTGATGAGATATCAATTATGTTATTTCAGACTTATCACAGCTTTATGTTAATCTCTTTAAAACTAACTTGAAGCTGGATGATAACTCATATAATCTTTTGGACTTCTCTCTATGCTAACGCATGAGAAGCTATGCAAAGGCTAGTACATGTCTAGTATTTACTTCTTTTCTTTACAACATCTGACCCAGTTATATCATACCCTTTTTCTAAGTTCTTGTAGTTACCAACACCCGGGATTTTCTTCTTCCTTTGCACTATGGTGTCTAGATATCTAGAGGCTCCTTTGATAATCCTCATGGAAACACCCTGGGGAGGCCTCCACTGGGTTTTCTCTAAAGAGCCCTGGTCATCGTAGCTGCCTGGTCCTGGCTTGGAGTTTTTCGTGATTTTGGCCATCCTACTGTGTTTTCCGTTATCCTAAAATTTGAGGAATTTTTAACTACCTTTTGAATTTTAGCAACTGTTGTCTTCCTCAAAGTTAAACTATGATTCAAGTTGTATTTTGACGGAGCTGGAATCACTTTCTTCTCTTCAGTGATTGAATCAATGGCTGAGAACTTTTCTAGTGATCTATAGTCGCTTAGTACTCAAGTTACGATTTGTAGTTTCCCTTTATCTTGTACTTCTGGTCTGTTTTGTATTGATTCGAAGCAGGAGTTTTGCTATAGTTATAAATTATAAGCCTATTCCTTTCACACCAAAACTCAGTATTACCTAGAGATGTGGATAGCTTTATCAATAAAATATTGAGTCATGGTTACACGTTTCTGCCTTCTAAACTGGCCCATCCACTTGCTGTTCCATTGATGGATTTTACTGTATTTAGTTCATCACGGGATATTTTTAAGGCTGTTAGCATGCTTGTCGAGGTATCTTTCGACCTTGCCTCCTGAGATTGTGTACTGAGGTGTTTTATTTCCACATATAATCATTATTGGGAGGCCTGTAGAAGGAGAGACCGAAGCTGTGAGCACTCTTCCTCATTGTTGCTGCATCCACACTTTTGTTCATCTCTGATGTCCTGGTAGAAGTTTTATCGATGCTCTGGTTCCTTAGCCTGTTGTGTGGCTTTACTTTGATGTACCTGTTGTTTCGGCTATAAAGAGGTTGGAGTTCAAGCTTACCCTTTGGAATACCCACTGTTGCTACTCGTCATTTCACTGATGGAAAGTCTCTGGGAAGATCTTGCAGTTCTTTTGTCCATAATTTATTTATTCAATTTTATTTTTACTAATTGGGGTTTTGGGGTTTTGGGGTTTTGGGGTTTTGGGGTTTTGGGG